TCCAGATATAGTGGTAGTTATCTATAACCCATTATAGTAAATGGGAATACAGAAGATTGGGAACTCTCATTCTTAAGAACTTCCGGTTGCTAAAAGCTGAGAAGCAAAGAGCCGAGTTCAGGTCTGATGTGAGTTCTCTTAAATGGAATTTTCTCCCCTTTCACCAGGTCTGAATTTCACCCACACTATTCAGATAATATAATGATGACAAGATTGTTTTAAAATACATTGAAAATGCTTAGTGGATGATTTTTCATTTCTGATGTAATTATTTTACTTCATTTTCTAAACAACAAATAATGTATCCCCCACTAACATATTCTGTAAGCTTGGGAATGAAGGAAGTTTACTTTCAGTGTTCAAAATTTCATGTTTTGTGTTCCAGTTACAGACATACACATAAATTATCTGCGCGATACACAGAACAGCTCTTAAGAGACACTAAGTGTAAGTCTCAAGAAAACCAGGCAGACACACAGTTTTTCCTTTTTGAGTGTGAAGAGGATAATTCTCTTTTTTTATGCAATAGATGTTAGATGCGAGAATGAAGGGCTACTGCATACTTCAATAGCTGTGCAATCACAGGTTCATTGCACGGGAATTAATTCAGTAGGTGCTTTAATACTATGCATTTAAAACTAGCCAACATGGACGGACACATGCACACACAAAAAAGAAAAAAATCACTGGACTGGCAGGAATATAGTTTTCTTAATAGATGGGCTTATTTCTAACACCGATTCTTATCAACCAAATGGCCAGTTCAGGATTTTCAGTAATTCTGGCAAAATTGAATATTGTCATCCAAAGGACAAAGGGATGCAGGTGAGATAAGAGGAAGAGGAGAACACTTGTGGGTATAAAAGGGAGAGAGGTCGGGATGAGGACGAAGAAAAGCAAAGCCCTGGAAAGCACATTTTACTACTTAGGGTGGGATAGATTATGAAGAGTGGAAGCAAAGTATTTCCTTCAGAAAGGCATAACCTCCCCTTTACTAGCCATAAACTGTCTCCAGCATCTGCCTCCTCCCTCCCTCAGCGGTGACCACTGGTGCCTTCTAGGCCTCAGACATAAGTGAAGTACAGAGCATGGTCCTGGCAATACTGCTGCCCCATGTGCTCTTCTATTCTACGAGTTTCATGTACTCACTTGAGTCAGGGCTCACACTTCTATCGCACACTGTTACCAAGTCTATCAACAAGTAACCTAAAATACATCTTTTCATTAACATGTCACTAATTTAACATGCTCCGCAACACATTGGGTTTTATCTGTATAAAAGGCCCAAACTCTGAACTGCACCATATCGTCATAAGAGTGGGATGCAACCAACAACATTAATGTTAAACACTGCTTTATTCATACAGAAAGTTCTCAATTTGCTGAAGTATTGGGAAAAGAAGAAAATAGATTATGCGTGTAATGAGGAAGCCACTAGTTCCCTGTGCAAGGATACGGAGGTAGTCCTGCATTGAGTCAGTGGGCATACACTACAGCTGGACTTCCAAGGCTAGCAGGCTCACAAGAACACCCGTGTCTCCTGGACTGCACTCCCCAGCACTTGACTGCCTGCTAACAAGCCCTTCCCTAAGCCCTGGGAACTGAAGATCAGAGACATTAAAGCAAATACTAACTCCGTCTCATTGCTGGCCAAGTCAGACACAGGGTCATTCCCACAGGAGCAATCCTCATGCTTCCACACCAACTTCTTCAGTTTTCTCAGCTAGCGAGAGGAAGGGAGAACTCCGTGAATTCAGTGCTGCTAACAAGTGCTCTCAAACTTGGCATGCAATTGCTATACACAAGCAATTCTCCTTACATATGCTTGGATCTGACATTGCGCAGGAGCTAGCAAACCCTGATGGACCCCTGATAAACTGATAAACAACAGCAGTCCTCAGTTCCAGAAGGAAAGTGCTTTGAGACACAGAGCCTGCTCTGGATGGAGCCAACTTTGGCCAGCTGCATGTCTGCAAGATATGAAAGCTGTATGCAGATTTTACCACTATAAGCAGTGAGACTGCTTAGACTGTAAAAATCAACGATCCACAGCCATCTTCCTACACTTATTCTGGTCTTACTGGATTGTGTAGGGTGAAAATCTTTAAGGCAAGGAAGCATTTTTTTCCACCATTCTGGGGGATTTTGACGTATGTTAAAATATCAGGAAAAGAAATTAAAGCATTCAAACTCAGAAGTCTGCATAATTTCTTACTTACATTGGTTTTACACCTGCTCTAAGTCTACTGCATTCATTAAGGCCACTTCCGATTTACAGTGGAAGTATAATCAGGCCCTCTGCAGGCATCACCCTAAATTGGTGCACTGCTCTATTAAAACAAACACTTGCTATAGTCACAATTTCAAAAGTGTACTTTGTGTGATGGCGAAATCTTAGTATAGCACTTACTTTGTGTAGATAATGTTAGTACATCCAAGTGCTGAAAAGAAGGGTTCATTAGTTCATTTTGCAGGAACAACTATTTTGGTTATTCTGACGCATGAGATGAGATGAGAAATGATTAAGTTCAGCAACATTCTGGCAGTTTCCTCATCATTAGATGTTTAATTAGGTGAAACAATCTTTTTACCTGGGACATCTGAAAACTGTTCCTTCACTAAGAAAAACAAAACCTACAATTTCTATAACCATAACTCACTGCATTCAATTCACAAAGCTGTATACACTAGGTGTAATACAGTGTTATACTGCTACGTGTATGTATATATTCTTTGATATTTAGTTCCCATGAATTCTGTTTACTTTAGCGGCAGCTTAATAGAGCCTACGAGATGACTGTCTTTGTAAAATAACCCAGTGGCCATATATTCCAAAGCAAAATAACGTATTTTATAAAAGACCAGGATCGCCTGTCTATGTGCTGAGTCGCTGAGTGTCTGTGTGCAAGCAGATTATTTTCTATGAAGTGACTGCAAACCTGATTACCCCTCTGCATTTCATCCGCCTCGTGGTTTTCAGAAATCCTTTTTATGGAACAGGTATTTCCCTCAAGCTGACAGGATACACTTCCTTGGGACAAAAGAGACAACAGCAAAAAATTACATACTGTATGTCAAGATGTGCCGCAATGAGATAATCCAGATGAAAATCTGTATTTACAAATACTGGATTCCAGAGTTGTTTATGCTGCATTTTCTCCATATCATTCTTTGGTCAAGAATCTAAGGAATACAATATGATCACAAATCTGTATCTTCATGAATAAATCTTTGTGATACAAGGGAATAGAACTGTGAAAGATTCATGAACTCAAATGAAAGGTTTTCTGATTAGCATTTCTGTTTCTAACAGTTTTGTATCTATTAATTACAGTGTAAAAGCCCAAATCAAGGTGTACAGAAACAGCCAATGACATTATTGGTTTATAGTCACAAAGACTAACTTGAAATTTTAGGGGAAACATTTCTTCATTTCACTTAGCCAAACAGTAGTAGTTCATCATGTCCAAAATATATTTTTCATGAGTGACCAAATCAAAAAATCTAAGGTTTGTCTCAATCCAAGGCAGCTTTCAGACTATAGGAGTTCCACCTTCCTGTGGCTTCCAGCACACAAACTGATGTGACCAGTACCACACCCAGCAACCTTTGCCTCCCAGTGCCCCATTCTCTCTTCTACATCCTCTACACCAAAGTAGTAAGAAGAAAAGAATACACAATGAGGCTCAAACATGGCTCTTCATCAGTAGCAGGACACCTTATCACTGTTATATCACATCACTGGGAGTGACTTAACACAGATTATTAAAACTGTTTTTCAACTCAGACAACAGGCACCTTAGAAATAGATGCATAGTTGGGTATCACTAATTTACAAGCAATATGCTGTAATAAACAGCTGAATAAGCAGAGGTGTTTATTTTTCCCTCAGCCTTGTTTACACATTTGAAAGGCCTCTCAGGTAAAGGCCAGAGAATGTGCAGATTACAGAAAACCTTCTATCTGCACTGCACAGCACATTCTATTTGCTTTCAGCAAGGCCCGAGGCTGAGTACAGTAATTGCAGAAATGAAAAATCACCACTTAAATTCAGCTCTAAGTCTGGAGCCATTCAGGAGTAGTAGAAAAGGAGTGATATGCATAGATCTGCGGGATGAAACATTGGCTAAAAAAAGACAAGTATGTTGTAATAACTGATCAAAACCTGAAGAATGTCAATAGCCAAGATCTCCTTTTTACAGATACGCAGCTACCACACTCATACTGCTGCCTGATACCAAGAGTAGCAGACCACTATAAAGCACAGAGACCTGCATCCTTTGGTGCTTGTTTCAGAAACTGGTGACATACCCAGACTAGGTCTGGACAAAGTACTTTGGTACGGTAGTTGTTAAGCAATAGTGCAGAGACAAGACATTAGGCAAGATACCAGTTCACTGAAATAACTACAGGAAGGAGACCTTGCCAGTGGAAACAATCACTGGTTTTGTACCAGCAAAGGCTCTTCACCTTTCTGGTAAATCTGTCTCACTGACAGCTGCAGTTGTTAAAGACTTAAAGGGCTAGACACTAGTGGCACTCTGGTAGGTAACGTATTTTAAAATCCATACAAAATTAGAAAAAGTGTAACTTCAAGAGTTTATAAATTAAATATAAAGGCACTTCTTGGCAGTCAAGTGTATATATATTTGCTGCCTGAGGACAGGAAGTTAGTTAGAAGTAGAACTGAGAGAGCTTAACAGTGACTCTAATTTATTATGAACGGACTCAAGTAATTAAAAATAAATGTTAGAGTGCTAAGAAACTGATGATAAATGGGTCTTCAAGAGTCTGGTTCTTTGTGAAGTAATTTTTCTTATGTGCACATTTCATTGATTTAGTCATCTAATTTAAGGCAGTCCAAAATACCGAGTAAGCACTCAGAAAATAATGCAGCAGCTGCATCCATACTGGTCAAATATCTCCAGTAATTGCCTGTGATTGATTTAGTTTTCATTAATTTCACAATACTAAGGCTGGTATGTTCTCTAAATAATTATCTGATGAGCAGGTGCAAAGAATAGTATCATTTAAAAATTAATGCTTTAAAAAGATCATGGTTTTACAACAAACATTTTAAAAAAGATAACTGCACAATAACTGTAACTGAAAGGGTGTGAGATTTAACCATAGTCTTGATGTACTCAGTGATATAAAAACCCATCTCTAAGAAGCTAAAACCTGCTGCAGTCAAAACAGTAACACTGTTCAAGCTCCATCCAAAGACTGACATTGCCGCTTTGAGCAGAAGAGTATTTGTTATCTACGCCCTAGAAACCCTGATTGTCTGTTTGCCACACGTGTACAGGATGCACAACAGGCTGTTTTGTAATAGGTGTAGACACAGAGCCGGGCCTGAACCACCACATTGCAATTGTAGTATTTATCTTTGCAGTTCTCATCTGTGGAGAAAAAGGAAGAGAGAAGAAACTGAAGAAAACAGTATTAGAGCAACAAATAACCCATCCCCTCTCTTCTTACCACATAAAATCCCTTGGACCTGTATTTAAACATTCATCGCCAGGTTAAAATAGGCTACCTATGCAAATGTTAGGTTACTCAAGATTGTCTGCTTTTAATATAAAGATACACAGAACGGTGGAAGAAAAGAACCTATCCCCATTTATACTGTTGTGGGGTTTTGTTGCTGGTTTTTTTTTCTTAAAAACACAAAATTTGTCTTGAATAAAGATGATAGAAAAGTCTCTAGTATTCTTCATTTCGGTACCTGCCCACTTCATTTTTAGATTCACAGGTAATAATCTCTTGTGGCAGTGTACAGATGGCATCAGAACCTGCAAATGTTATTTTCAAGTACTGACGAATCTGAATACTGGAAAATAGTAAACCATCTCCCTCCTCACAAATAGTACAAATGGTTTAAAATAACTAGATTAAAAAGGACAAAAGTTGGTGTTCCTAACATTCCTCATTTTTCTAAGCTGTTAGGATGTGGTCTGTTCACATTTTGAAGTTTTCCTTTATAACCAACAGAGTTAGAAATACTTTTAAAGTGACAACTAAGATCATGTATGTGATCACAGAAACTGAGGCATTAAGAAAAAGACTGAATGACAAAACACTAATAGCAGATGTAAAAATGAGCAATTCCGTGCAAATGTGTTTTAAATAAAGAGATAACAACACTAATACAATAAAGTTTTTTAAATAATATTGGTATACCAGGGTTTTATATAGTTAAATTATATCAAAGAATAACTCTCAACTGGAAATTGTTGTAGAACGTAAGAGTTAAAACTGTCTCTAAATAATTGCATCTTCCTTTCCCTAGTCATTCTCATTACTATTAAAATCAAATCTGTATGAGATGACTGACTAATTCCAATGCCAAATTATGTGTACGTGTATATTTACTACAGGTAAAAGAAAATTGCCTAATTCCCCCAATGTCTTAGTTTAATGTTATTGGTTCTTATAGAACCTGTTACCAAATACAGGATATCATACATGATCCTTTTTGTTTTTGTTTTAAAGACTCTGCCAAGAGAAACCTTTGAGAATGCAAGGAGGCTGAGTAAAACACCCTACATGTACGATTTTCACAGAAGCACATTTCTCACGTTCTGAGCAACTATAAAAGTAACCCAGTTTCTTCCATGTTACAAGGAAAATGTTTTTAATCAGATATGAAAACGTACTTTCACACCATAGAAATGAGCTGTATTTTGTGCAAAAATAAAACTCTGACCTTCATAAAGAAAATAGACTCTAAAACCTCTACAAGATCATTAAATACTTTCTCCACTAGATGGAGTTCCATAGTTAAAACAGAAGCTTTCTCTTACCTATTTCAGGGATACAATCTTGTGTGTTACATGGTTCTTTTTCTTCAGGTTTAAGCTGTGGATCACACTGAGTACTGGCTGTCATGTCATCCGATAGACATCGTACTTCTCGAACCCGAAATCCTCCTTCACAGGATCTGGAACACTGAAACACAAAAGCTGAAGTTCCTGAAGACCATATGAGATGTAAAAATACAGAAAGAAAAAATGGGAAATGAAGCCAGACTCAGGTATCACTGTAGCCTTTTATCAACTTCACCACTTCTGTTGTTTTTTGTTTTCTAATTATAAAGTCCTTAACATACAGGTTAAATTTTGTTAAAGGTTCAAAAACATTTTTTACCGCAGGGGCAACAACTGGACAAGTAAACGTGGTAGACACTGCACAACTGAAAGTACGACAGAATTCCCTTTCTGAATTTATTAGTTAGCTTCTTGTTTCTCTAATTAGTCTTGTTCATCTCTGCTTATTTAGATATATCTCCCAAATCTACTCTTTCCACAGTGTTCACGTTCCTTGCTTTAAGAACTTCCTGCACTGAACTTTACAACTTGACTGCACTGCCCTCCACTGCCCTTTTGCCTCCATTTAGATTCAATCAGGAATAATTTTAATTGCCTTTTTTCTAGCGCTCAATTATTTTTTACTTCTTGCAGCACAACAATTTTACTAAGCATTATAGGTTTCTTTGAATTTCTAAAGAAAATATTTCTGTGCTCCTTCAAAGTCTGTTACGAAGCCAGAGACTTTTGTACTTGCTTGTCATGATATTTTTAAAGCCAATTATTACACATTTCTGCCCATACTGAAGCAAATCCCCTGTTGACCTCAAGAATTTCGCCTGAGTGAGGTCTTTGAGATTTGGCTCACTGTCCAGTTTGACCTAAATGCTCACAAACTTAATTAAACCTGGGTCATTTATAATGATTAAAACCTTAATAGCCCCAAACTAGTAAGAATGTTTTCTTTCTGACTTCTTGGCATAATTATTTCTTTTCCTAACATTGCAAAAACAACTCGTCACTATCATAAAATCAGATACTGTAGCAAACTAAGTAAAATATTCTCAATAATATATTCTTAAATTCACCTTTCATCTTGAAGTACAACTTTTCCCCACTTTAGAAAAGATACAGCCCTGTGGTGACAGTAATAGAATTTTTGCATTTTTTTAATGTAATTACTCTTATTACATGCCTGTATAGAATACCGTAATTATCCCACATCCAACAACAAGAACTTCAGTTCAGAGATCTTAAGCACTTAAAATGGAACCAAGACAGAATTCAGATGTTACATACAACACGCTATAGACAAACCCCAGCATTCTGTGTTAGCCAGCCATTTAATCTCCATGACTGGGAGGCCACAGCATTTATCCTAACTCATATAAAAAGTCTGCTGTAGATACGAACTGGACAGTTTCAAAACCTACTACAGGGGCTTTGAACCAGCTATTCTACTTACAGCTAACCCCCCATAATCCTTTCTCTTCAGGTCTACCAGTAAGAAATACCACATACGTTCTTGGTTAATAGTAACAATATCAGAAGGAGAATTGAAAAACACCTAGAATATGATCTTGTAAAACCTCAGCTATCATATGCATTTGTTCCTACAGTGAAGATGGTCACAAAGGCTTAGACCTTTAAGGATTTAGACACCACTTCTTAGGAAGTAAGCACTTAAACAGTAACTAGGGATCTCTAAATACCTCTCAGAGTCTGAGTCTTAGCACCTTGTTTCTTCTGTGCCTGCCAAAAAGAGCATATATTTTCACTTTCAGAAGGAATCTATCTGCTGCATTCTATGGGTGCAGATGGCTGTATCTCTTGTGGCTACACACTTGCAGGTTCTCATTTGAAAATGGGTTTGCTAATGGGTTTGCTAAGGGGAAGTTATTAATCTAAACTAACAGCTCAGTAAAGATTCCAAAGAATTTCCAGCAACATCAAAGAATATACTTTGATCTACATGGCTTTATTATGAGCCTAACTTGGATGCTGTTTTCAAATAAACATCTATACCTGCAACTAAGGAAGAAAAATCAGGATTCCCTTCAGCTGATTTATTTTGTTAAAACCATTCTACTTTCTTTTCTGCTTTCTAGTGCTGCCAATAGGCCAGTCAAATAATTGAGCATTTAGTAAAAGGGAAAACCAAAATAGTTTCTCTCTCTTGTCATGTGGATGAGGTATTTCCAAAGGTTCCTGACTAAGGGAACTCAAACTGAAGGCACCTCAGGTGCTTCCACATTTCAGAGCTGTCATTCTGAATTTGATTTAAGGCTCAAGGAAGGGTGTAAGTTAATGCATTAGATATGATGTCATCTAAGTAGTTTTCACACCATTTTTCATTCTAAGATGATAATGGACTTTCTGATTTTCATTTAGGAGAAGAATGTCGATTTTTTGGTAAAAATCCAATAAGCTTTGTTAGGTGTAGGAAACGATGGAAAGACAGATGAAACCAAAGCATTTTGTGGCACTGGTGAACGTAGCTGGTCCACTTCCAGGGGAAACTGAAGATACATGAAGCTCTACAGTAAGTTTTCTCTCAGTAAAGTTCTAAGTATCACAGTGAAGAGTTTATAGTAAAATATTATGCTAAAACTGACTTTAAAAACTGAATACATCCCTGAATACATTAATTTTAATGAAACTAGAGGTCTGAAAAGAACTACTTAGTCTCATTAAGGGGCATACCAACTTTATAATAAACAGGAAGATCCTTGGAAGAAGAGATAGTGATAAAAAGACAACTATGCAGTGTCTCCTTCTCGTCAAGACACTTCCTAACCTTCCTAAGCTCCACTGGTTACTAAAGAGTATGCTTTCTTTTTAGTATCATTCCTGTGCAAGATTAAGTCAATTTCATGATCAACAGTTTTATCCAAATGGTGTTCCCTTTCAATATACATGGAAAAAGATGTATCAAACAGAACTAGATACAGAAAAGCATGATAGACTTACTGTGCTCCATTCTGTATGAAACCACTTAGATCCACATGGTTTGAGGTAGCAGGATTGCTGGCTGGGAGGTTTTTCCAAATATGAACATTCATAGGGGTTCAAAACATCAAAATTACCTTCAGTTTTCCTAACACAAATGACTTCTCTCTGTTGAGTTCCACTGCCACATTCAGTAGAGCACTGTATAGAGAACAATAAAAAAAAGGTGGAATTTGTTATTCTACTTACATCCTCCAACTTGTTTCCAAAGTAACATGTTTCTCCACGTTATTTGTTTCTGAAATAAAACAACACACACACACATATATATACACTTCCATTTAAATTAATATTCAAGCAGGAAAACTTGTAAAGTTTTGCTTATTCCCTATTCTTGGACACAAGCCTAGATACTAACATCCAAAATCCATTTCCTTACTTATATATGATCTTTCCTCAGTAAAATGAACTTAGCTGTGTCTTTCCTTCCATCACTGGCATATGTGTGACTTGAAGAGAAAGGAAAAGGGTAAAGTGTTCCTTAAGTTCCTGCAGTAGGGTTTCTATCTCTCAGAACCAGAATAGTAGCCTAGATAAACCTTGGGTTATTATTACGATTTGTAGGTAGTACTAACATAGTAGCCAGGAGTCCCAGTTAGGAACCAGGACAAGAAAATGCTGAAGGATATAGTAATGACTTAATTCATCAAGTGACTACTGACTATAAGCGTCAGGTATTACGTATTTAATTTTTAATCTTAAAAATGGTTACAGTGGTTAAAACTGTACTTCTGTGAATATTTATTCCAGATGCTACCACAGACTTGAAACATATTTCTAGTTATTTTTATGAAGAAGACATATGACTGTAAGTGTGCTTTTGGAGAAATCTAAAAGTGTAGTTTTACCTGCAGATACAAAAAGAAACTGGTATTTATTTTTCTAATAAAAAGAGAAGCATAACTTACTTTCTCCATAAACAGTGTTACTGCTTCTTGCTGAAGCAGGATTGTATACACTGCACTGAACCTTTGAGGGTTATACGGTTAGAGCACAGTTTTGCAGCTTTACAAATCCCCACATTCTGTGTGTTTTTTTAGAAAATGCCTTGATCTGCCAGGGTGTTCTTTTCATGTTTGCAAGTATCTATGTGATGCAGTGTCGGTTCCAATTCTGAAAAGCAAATTTGACTCACATGGACTCTTACTGCCCATTTAAAGGTTAAATACACACACAATACTGTTCCTGGCACTTGTAAAAAGGTTTTTAGAAGATGATTCCAGCAACATATTGGTTTCTAGGTTGTCTAAGGGACTATGATTTTCAAAGGCTTTTTCTAGCCTAAACCAATCAAATGTTATTAAAAGTGGGGAATTTTGTTTATATTTTGGGTGAAATTTATGATCCCTTTACAAGATACTCACAAAAACCTTCCACTGAATGAAAAACCTTGACATGAACTCACCCAAATAAATTCCACAGGAAATAACGTAACTACACTTTCTTTAACATTGAACATCTCTGTCATTGCTCTCTTTTAATGGTTCCTCCAAAAGACAGTATCTTAACATTCAGCCTTAGCTCTAGTGGAGCATAATACGGAAGGTCAGCCACCAATGCTCCCTCCTGCTTTGTTCTACTGAGTGTCTGCTTTCATTGTGGTATTTAGAAGTCAGGATTTGGCTGGTAGAATAGTTGTTGTCAGACGCTTCTTTCAGGTAACATACAGCAAAGACTGTGTATTCTTGGTATGCATCAAACAATTTAATCTCATGCAAAGAATGAAGGTGAATTAGCTTAAAAGAACAGGAAATTGTAAAGGATGGAAACTTTCTTATTCAGAACAGAATGGGAAGAGTTAGGATGACCTTACTGAAGGCTTGTGTGATAGTAAGAATGGATACAAAGTTCCTATTCACCTGCATGGAGTGGTCTAAGTAACACCGCCCAGATTTTATCTGTTATTAGAACTGCAGATAAGTATGTTTTAAATCTGAAATTGTCATTACTCTTACACAAATAATTATCACTTACACTTGAAAGCATTAGCATAGTAGTACCCCTGTAATCTCCATCTCAGCTGTACCAGTTTAATTTCCAACTCCTTATCACCTGGAAGGATCTTGGAATCTGAAATGCAGTGAGTTAATAGCAGTGCCAAGAGAATTTTCCCTAACGACTCGATGAAGTGCTGGTACCAGCAGTCCGAAAGGCTCTCTAAGCTATATGAGAGCCTACACCAAGGGATGTAAATGTCTGGGCACTGGCTAACAGTGCCTAAAATGCCTTTGTTCCTGACAGCAGAAATGTTTATTTGGAATGAGAAGGACTATTGAGATGTGGATCAAGGGAAGAATTTACCCTGAGGAAAGAGCATCAGGATATAGGCCACTAACCAAGTTTGTTCTTTTCACCTATTATCGTGAATTTCAGCACAACAATACTGAAGCTAACTTTTGGGTTTAGCCATTGTTTTTTTGTCTTGTTTATCTTTTGGAAATTCCATATATATATCTCCCTGCAGTTATGCATGATCGCAAAGGCTTTGCTGTAAAAGGTGCAAATCTGTTGCTTCAGCATTCACCTGAATATGCCAAGCAGCTTTCTGTTATCTTTCATTTTATAAATACACTGGGTCAGTAGATGAGAAATAAAAATGAAGGTACAGGGGAAGAGAAGAACAAAATCTTTCTTTCATCAAAGTGAAAAAACAGTAGGTGCTGAAAAGTATTGAACATCAACTCAGCAAAATACAGGAAAAAAAAATCCAAATATTCCACAGAGATGTAGAAATACCTTATGGCCTACACCTTCATTGCACAAAATGCATTTTTAAAATTAAAATACCAGCAGAAAACAAATACCTATGTTGGATATAGAGCTTACCTGTGTCCAGCCCCCAGCAAACCACTCCACTTTACCAGCACAGGGTCCATTATTACAGGGAGTTGTTCCAGAGGGTCTGTTACTGCCACAGCCTTCCAGAGGCAAACTGCTGACATGGTTTGTCATACAAACCACTGAACGCGTACGGACTCCGTCACCACATTCTGCAGAACACTGGGGAGCAAAAGACAGAACATGTTCACTAGTCCGTCCTCCAAACTGCAAAATGAAATGAGGAGAAGCAACAATCATGAAAAATAAATTAATTTATGCGAAGTCAGTGATTTTTATTTGTAATTCAGCTGTAGCAAATTATCTTATAGTTTCATACTTTTCAATACACTACAAGTAGTACCTGTCCCTTACAGTCACAAATGAAAGAAACTGAAGTATTAGGGAAGAAAAGAATTAAATTTTTATAGCTTTTTATTAGCTTTCTTACTTTTCCTTCCTTCTTCCTGTCTGTAAATGCTTTCAGTTTTCATTTTATTCACCTTTTTGCATACAAATTAATAGATCTAAGAAGGGATAATCTCAATAAGCAGCTTTTCAGACAACAGTCATATTTCAGCTTTTGAGCTATTCTATGAGTTTCTCCCCCAATCATTCAAGCTGTCAGCCAGGTGAACTCTTACACTGGTTAACAGGACAAGGCTAGGAAGACTGAGGGCTGTGGCATTGGTCATAAAATGACTGCATAGTGCGTCCTGGAACTTTTCCGTATAATGAGTTCACAGACTATGAGAGCACAATAAAGTAGAAAAATATAAAATTTTTTGGCAGGTGGTTTCAGAAGATCCAGGTAAATCCTAAGCAAATATCTGTAACTACCACTAATTATTGCCCAACCTGTTTAACTGTAAGTTGTTAATTAGTTTTAGCAGAAGAGATGGCCATAGCTTATGTAAATTCAGTGTTGCTTGCTAATGATATGACTACCCGGTAACTAACATTCATCATTCTCAACTCTTCACTGCTAAATTCTGAAAGCTCTTAATAAATAGTGATATGCAGATTCTTATGTCACATATTTGGCGATAGTATGCATGTCATCCATAAATCACACAGGATAAATTCCATTTATGCCCTTACAGTTTGGTCATTCATCTACCGCATTGGGAAAGTCTCTGATACTCCACTGCTCTGGGCAGTATCAAAATACAGACATTTAAAAAACAGAAATATGCCAGGGAAATAATCAATTCTTGTGTCAGACTGGTTTTTTTGTTGCTTAATTCTTTTTCAATCTTCCCTTTCTTTTTCTTTTAAAATGCATTTGGCAATTCATGTCTAGACCATTAAAGAAAAACCCATGTGCAGCTCACTGAAAGATATGTATATAACCGAATTAAAAAAATTACAAACAATTATATTACATATGCAAAGAAAACCACAAATCCGTATATAGTATATGGGGGGAAAAGATGCATTTGGCTGACATTCCAGATTTTATTTTTAACATATGATTAGGTAGGAGATAGTAATATAGTAATTAGTTAGGAGAAACTGTGTATTACTTCCACAATGAACAGTACATTCCTTGTGAATGAATGTAACTCTGCATTGAAACATTTTTTAAAATTTTATTGAATAAAAGTAAGAATGATTCTAAGAACTGGAAATAAGACACACAGTTGACAACCAGCTTGACTTGGCTCCGATTGGTAATAACGTAAGGGTTCACATCCAGCAGTTCAGCTACAGAACAGCAGATGCCGTGATAGTACCACCCACTAGCGATGATGGGATTAACCAATACAGTCATTCATCTTCTCAAGAGAGAGACCAGTGACTGGATGTACAACTGGTTGCAAACTACTCTTTACTCACTCGCACTGAAGAATACTGGTTATTTGTGTGAAACACCTAGTCATGTTATATTTATTCCACAGATACAGTATAGAAAAACATGTTTCCTATCAGCAAGCCTGTTTCTTTCACAAGACGTTCAAATAGAAGGGCAAAGCTTTACTGAAATGGAATCCCTAGAAAACTAAAAAAGTTATTTAACTTTTTACAAGTCCTGTTTTTAACAAATGAGATACAATTTTGGAATAACTAGAAATTCAGAATTTAAAGAGATGCTTGTGTATTCCACAGGAATAGGAAAAAATTGCTTATAGTTTGGAATGGTTTCTTCCTCTATCTGTGAGATCAAACAACTAAGCTTCTTTTAAATGATGCCTGTAACTAACATAATTAACCTTTTTTTGTTGGTGGTGCACAACAAAATGTTCCACTTTTACACAGATATATAAAATATACTTACCTCCTCAGCAAACTAGATTTGACAGCTAAGGAGATCTTTTCAAAGTAAACTAGCAAAATCTTGAAAATACAAGAATGACGTGAACTGTGCTGGTAGTGAACGCTTTCCTGTTTATGTAAACAAAAACTAAACCAAACCCAGTTCAAACAGTCCAATCCTAGGTAGACTGACTGTAACTGAGCCCCCCAAAATGGCTACCCTTCAAACCCACTGTACAGAAACAAATTTTTTGGCTGTTCATATTTTGTCCTTAGCAATATGTTCAATTACATGATGCATAGAGAACTATGCATATACTTTGCAAATATTTTTTTTCTTTCTAAGTAATTTTCATTTGACAATCGAATTTGCTCTTTTACTTTGCAAATCAGAGCTAGGAATAAGTTTAGTCTATAAAGTCATCCAGAAAATCTCCATAGTCTTATGTTATAAATGATTATGCATGAACTAGGCTTACATATCAAATAACAAAGGAAATACCAAATAGGAAGGTATAAGGTTGTCCCACCCTCTATTGCAAGATTTTACTACAGATTAACTACCCTCAAAGGATTTACAAAGCAAACTAAAACCTGAATGTTTCTGCATTAAGTATTTGGTTTTTCATGTTTTTTTTCCTTCTTTCAGTAAAAATCTTCCATGTGAAAGCCATGATTTCCAAAGCCCAGGGCAGGGAGTAGAGAGTGTTTGGATAATGAATCCTCGCCTTTTGGTTTTCACAACTGACACACCCACTACTTTCAATTTTGTGCCAATGATTTGTTGCATTAATACACAGTAACTGCCACAACCTAACATTTGTATGACATGAGGAACTTTCACAAGCTGCAACTTCTCTGTTCTGGTCCTATTATTAAAGATATTTTGTTTCACTGTCTTGTTTTAATTGGCAGAAAATCCTCAGAAACCTTAGTCTGTGGAACACCCTCCCTAGTTTTATGGAGGCTGCCATTTCTTCTCTTCCTGAGGTCCTTCCCTCATGAGTTCAGTTTCAGAAGTTTTCCATTCCCATTAAAAACCAAAAATACCACCCCCCTCCAATTCAGTGTTCTGAAAGTTGTCAGAAAACAACTGTTACAGCAGTCCAGGAAATATAACGCTAGTTCCTGCAAACTTGGAAAACTGCAAGTGGAAGCTTGAATTTTTATCACAGTCACAGGGCATGGTAGAGCAAAAAAAGCCGTTTAACAGTGCCAGTTCCCTTTCGCTAATGTGCCAGCCCTACTCATTACCCTCAACTGGGGCAACAGATCACAAGAAAGAGGTAGCAGGAAATCTACCAGAACTCAAGAGTCCTTTCACCCAAGTCTCAGCATCATTGCTAGCCTTAATTACATTTTTAAATAACAACCAATTGAGTTCCAGTAAAATGTCCCTATTTGTGCAGGATTTCTTTCTACCACACTTTAACCTTCATCATCTTAATTGTTCCCCACAAGATAGTAAATTTTTTAATGAATCATTCTCCTGATGTTACACTACTGCAAAAAATAAAAATGAAGATCTACGTTTGAAATACATTTATGAAACTCCTTAGCATTATTTGACCTATTCTGAGAAATCCCTTTCAGAAGGGATTTTAGAAGGATTATGTAACCTTTGTTTTCCCAATAATAAACCAAGAATTGTATTTCAGAAGCTCACTTCTGCTGCAGTTCCAAGACTGGGGGCAGATTTTCAAAGGACACAAAACTGTTGAGAGCAGCCTTGATTTCTTAAAAAAAAAAAAAGTACATAAAAAAGGGGGGGGGGAGGGCTAGTCAGAGATATCCTTATGTATTGCTAAAACACTTTCTGATACCTGGATTTAAATTATTTCCCTTTAGAGTGCATCTATGCATACAGCAGGTGCTGGATCAGCAGTCAAGCCATCCCTGTTTTTAGTCTAGTAGATCCATGGTATACTTCCAAGGTAACAAAAGTTTTGAGATACGGTCTTAGAATTTTCAGACACTTCAGCTGGATCAGGATTGCTTGTACATACCACTGTTACTTTCTTTACATGTAGTTGGCAACACGGTTGGTACTTAGATATTACTGATGCCCTTTGAAGTAAGTAACATTAGGGAACAGACTTCTTCACTACTCTGGCTCACACAACCAATAACACTTGCCTTGAGAGCGGTCAGGACTTCTCAGGGCCTGAGTGTGCCAATATGCCTTACTGGCCCTAACCAGTCTCATCTGGGGCCTCTACCCACACCCCTGCCCAGGGCCCAGGGTCTGCATTTAACCTAAGCCCTGGTCCATGCCTGAGCTTGATCAGAGAGGTGCCTGTCCCTAGCCACAGCCTGGGCACAGGCCTCACTGATCCCTCACCCTTGGACTCGGTTCTCAGCTTGACCTTGACCCTGCCTCATTACCATAGGCTGTGTCTGACCCTGGCTACCATCACTGGACCTGAGCTGTGGATTGATTTCCGAGCTTGACCTTGGACCTGCCTCATCACCATGACCTTGCCTGATAATCTGGACTCTTGTCTGCTCCTGCCTGCCACCTATGAGCCTGCCCTGCTGACCTAACTGGGATAATGTGGCCCCTAGCTGGCAAGGGTCCTCCCTGCCATGCAGACTTCTATACGCTGATTTTCATCTAAAGCAGCTGAATTGTGGCAAAGAGAGATGAGCTCTAGAGAAGAAAACAGAAACCTCTGTAGGTCTTGGCCACCCTTCTATCAATGTCTCCGTCAAAACTCTCCTGGCTATATGTTTCATCTCAAATCATGAAATGAGTTACGTATTTATACATAAGGAATGCAAAACTTCTATTTGCATAGGATTCCCACATGAAATCAATGGAAAGGGATATTTTATCTTGTTTTCATTTTATACTGAAAACAAATAAACGGTGATAAATGAAAATCATTAAATGCCTGGACAAGCTCAATGGTGGTCTCTTTTCCTTTGTGGTGTTTTTTTTTTTTTTTTTTTTTTTTTTTTTTTTTTTTTCCCCCCCAGGATCCAGGAGATTTTATGCAAGCTATCCAGATTTAAATAAAAAACAGTGAAAGAAGAGTGTGAGCTACAGTATTCATTGGTGGTTTCACATTTAACTGATCAACAAACCCATTTGTACCTGTTAGGTAATGCTTTAGGATTGTGAGGAATAGAGCACTGATTTTTAAAAAGCATACTGCAGTTCTCTAATGGAAGATATTACAGAAGCATCAGTGTTACTCCTTTTAATGAAGAGTGAAATCCAGAGCACACATTTGATCTGTTTTGATTTTGTTCCCTGATGTGCAGCATTTTTTCTTTCTTCCCAAGATTTTATTTTGGCCTCAGAATCTCATTAACATCTAAGAATTGTTCGTATTTTGGCTTCTTTTCTAAGTATGCTCTAAACATAAAACGAGAAACAAATGAACAGAGGAGATGGCAATGAGGAATAAACAAAAATGCAAGAGGGGAATGGTCCAGTTAGCTGGAAGGAAACACTGGTTGAGTCTCCCATCACTGTAAATCAGGAGAATGCAGTTTCCTGCTTCTGACCCATAGGAGAAGTAAACTTTCCAGCAATTAGAGCTGTCAAAGAATCAGTCATGTGAAATGTTTGCAAGAATCTCATCTGCTCCCATCAATCCAATTTTGCTGCCAGGTTCAGTAAGGTTCACCAGCTTTACTCTACTGATTAATGGATACAGTTTGGTGGAACTCTGCTGTTTTAATGCAGTATGATATCTTTAGAGAATTATGAGACGGGAAGCCATCTTTCTACAAACGCACGTAAAAATATCACAAAAGTTTGTCCAGAGTCTCTGTAATCAAAAGGGGTTAAAGATCACGTAGAAGACAAAGCCACAAAACTTAAGTTAACTCTCTTATTTATACTCAAGATAGAGCAATAAATGTAAAGACAAGCACATACAAGGTTAAGATGTGTCTCACTTTCCTGCTAGAGACTTTTGACCTGTGATCTTTCCCATTGAAATGAATAGGAATTTCTGTTTCTCTCAAGATTGAGCCTGGGGGATATCAGAATATGGTGTTTAGATCTACTTTAAAGACAAATAACAGAGCATATACTTTTCAGAAAATAAGGGTTTGTTTCTTAAGGATGAATTGCTTTGCTTCCTTCCTTCTTTCCTTTACACGTTGCACCAGTGTGCACATGGTAGCCATACAACTCACAATCTTTGCAGGTAAAAGCATGTGCGTAACATACATACAATGGACTCTGATACCTGTTTAACAAAATAAATGAAGAACTGTATTGTTTTAGGAACATGGAGGGGTTTTTAATTACTTAGGATTAATTATATGTATTAAAAATTGGTCTGTGCGGGAACGGAATCCAAGAAGGTCAATGCCATGGGGATAAACAGGCGGTCCACAAAACTTATAAATATGTGTTGTGGGAAATCAAGATGGGAGAACATGGCAAGAAAGCAGCCAAGTGTTACTTACCGAGTAAAGCTACATACAGCCCTGGGAAGGAGAAACAATTCCTACACACAACCCTCGATGTACTCTGCAGGTTTTTAAGTGCACATATGTTGTATTGCAGAAGTTACATTCAGGGAAATGTAATGATACAATCTTCCAATTCAGAATCACAGAAACTATTAATGCAAATGAAGGAAACTAGCATGATTTTGCATCAATTAAAACTTTGCAAGGTTTCAGTAAAATAAGAAAACCCAAAATCTTTCCACCAATCCTAAATTAGATCCTGTAATTTTCTTAAAACTCAGTTATGACTATTCATCTCTTTCTCTCCCTGTGTTAAAGAATACTATTGTCAAATTCGGCACAAATATACATCACAGTTATCAAATCCTGAAATTTAACATCTGTTGGCAGCAAAGACAATTGTAATTTTTATGTTACTGTGCTTTTTCTTGATGTTTCGCTAATTAGCCAAGGCTATATTGTAATGCCCCATGCATTACCATAAATCTGCACATGGAAGTTTGATATATCCCTTGCTGAAAGAGAAAGTACATGCTTAACCAATCTCTGACAGGCCTCTGGAAATCTCTACTTGCTGCATGTGCAACAGTACACATTAAGTGTTTGTAAAGTGGGTTCAGAAAAGTACAGGCCAGGCCTTCTCTTATGGCTGTAACTGTAACCAAGTTTGAAGTCAACCATTTCAAAGTTCCAACATTCTCAAAAGTTATGATAAGTTCTTTTACCTCTTATTTCTAGCCACGGCTGAAATGTCAAAATACAATGAGAAAGACTGTTCTGTGGTATTTCCAGCTGGGACTTGAAGTAGGCATGTAATAAATCTCACAAAGAAGGTCTGTTCTTGTGAGATTTCCACCACAGTTTTGCAGACTCAAGAGGTTTGAACAAGCTTTCTTTAAGCATTTGAACTTCTGGCTGCTTATCGGAACCGTTTGTGGTTGCCCATCGCTGATCTATGCTTATTGCTGAAGCATGGCTTGGCTTAAAGTACTTTTTAAAGAATTGTTTTGGGAAATCACACATGCACAGTCCATACACTGGGAATGCCTATTTCCATTCCATGACAGAATTCTCCTCTTGTCTTTCAATAGAAACATACTCCTCTACAAAGAAGGAGACCCTTCTGATCCTACAAAACAGCCCTTGAAAAGCACAGTAAGAAAGCTAATGGTCAGAGACCTGACTTTTCAAAGCTATTGACTACTCCTATATTCCACTGATTTCCACTGGAATCACTGACACTAAACGTCTCTGAACATCTGAGTTATAAGATATGTGTGAACCTTAGAAGATTCTGCACATTCTAGTCTGAATCTACTTTTTTCCTGAAATAAGCTGTTCGTTCCATTCTCTTTGTGAATCAAACTCCAAACCCACTGCTGGCAGAAATGATGGTGAATAATGCCAACTACAGTAGCAAGCATTTGGAAGAAATTAATTTGTACACTTATATAAGCTGAAAGGGTAACAAAATCCATTCTTTACACTCTGACCCTAAAATGTTTGTGGTAAGAAAAAACTCCAACATTTTCCACATTACCTGCTTCACTTCTATGTCTCATTTAATATAGATATATAAATAAGCACAATAACATTCTACAGTCATAACCCTCAGCTACAAAAACTACTTCTAATTCTGCAGAGGTCAAAATATCGACGTAGAATAATGAAGAAAACACTGATGCTAGAGTCTTCACTGGAAAGTATGTGCTTTATGTGATGGAACTGCACTAGCTGATAGCAGCTGGTTCAGCTTTTTCAAGAAAGGTATCTTTGAGGGTAGAATGCATTTTTCTGTCTTGTAAAATATCACTTCAATAGCACTGTACAAAGAACAGCTCTACAAGCTAAAAACCCCAAAATAACCGGCACTACCACTTCCCCTACAGCAAAAACTTTGCCATTTGCACTAATAACCTATACTTTACCTGGTAACTTTCCGTCCATGCTACACAGGAGTGTACATTGAGTGAAACAACTGGAAAAAAAATGTTCATATGACAACAACAAAGATTTATTACTGTATAATTTTCTTTTCTTTATAAAATCTATTTGAGTTGTCTGAAGGGTGGAAATTTTGCAGGCCTTTAATTGTAGCAAGAGTCCGATTAGCATTTTTAAAATTACATGACATGCTAGGTACCTGTCCTACTTGTGAAGTTCCTCCTCTTTCTCCATCTAAAACATGTGGAAAATCTGAGTGTCCAAACTAATGCATAACCTATGAGCCAGACATCCCTAGCTTTCAGTGATACTACCACAAAAGGATCTAAATAATGAATCTGTGAAGTTATGAATGTAATCTTACAGCTTCAACGATAAATTATATTATTTGCCTGCCAAAACAATCAGTCAAGGAAAAGGGAGATGCAATCAGGATTTTATAGACCGAAGGCTCAACTTGTCTACAGATGAAATTGATATGCAAGCATTCATAAGAGGGACAAAAATACCAGGCTTTTCTTAGCCCATGTTTGTAAGCTTTTTAATGAAAGCATATAAATATCACACTACTGAACAACAACTCTCACCCAATCATGAAAGAAGGTAAACCACCACTGTTTTTACTGCTTTCATGTGGAGAATCTGACTCATTGGAATAAAAAAATACATCCATGTTCACAAAATACGAAAGCCTCAATCAACCTTGCCTGAGTTTATGAAGTTGTTGCCCTCTTTTATCAGCTATAGGATAATTGTTTTCTGGCTTGAACTTAAACCCAGACATCAGACCTCAAACCTCCATCCCTTAAAAAACAGTAGGGAAACTTTCAGAGTCTGAATCTTGAGACTCAGGGCTAAGCAAGGCAGAATAATAAATCTCAGCACACTCAGTATTTTGGGAAGTTTGGACACAGAGCCAATTCTAAATCCAGATGTTTGGCCACATACCCACACGCTTGCCCCTTCTATGCATTCTTGTATCTAACACAAACCCAAGATGCCCTTGGGATGATTGGTTTTTTGTTTGCTCTTGTCGGTTTAACAGATCAAGGATAAACATGGAAAATAAGATCACTCCCTTTACAGCTGTAAAGATGTCTATTTTTTTAATTCTGATGCACCTAAGTTGTTTTAGAAGATTTGGCAGCATAAAGATAACGAGAAGCCTTACCCTGTCACTCCACTCTGTAAGGAACCAGCTCTTAGCACAGGGACCCATGTCGCAGTTCTCAATATCATTTGGCCGCAGCTTCATGTTACATTCCTCATCATCAACAACATCTCCAAGGTTGCTGACACATTTCACGTCTCGTGTCCTCTGCCCCACTCCACAAGGCACTGAACACTGCAACAAGAGGGAGGTTGCATCAGGACACTATGCAAGAACTGCAGTGGTTTATTCTCAGTCTGTAGTATTCCACAGTATACTATGCAGATACATTTGGAAAACATAAAATTAAACCCTATTTTCAACAGACCATGCTGCATCTTATCAAAATGAACTGCTGGTATTTGAATAGCAGGCTGATATATTCTGCATAATTTTGATCTTGACCTGTAAGCAGCTATGAAGCAAGAGAAATGCAAAGAAACTCAACTTCTGAATCCCTCTTACAAGTAAAGGCCACGTTCTCCGGCTCTCTTTTCTTCAAGCTCAGAGAATGCTGACAGCTATTGATATCTCTGCCTGAAGATGTGAAGCATCCAGATCATGAGGCAAGATGGGAACATAACTTTCTTCTGCATATGCATGAATGTTTTGATGAGTCTTGTAAACACTCTAGAATTAAAGGGGAAAATCTCTGGGAATTTGAAGGTTAAAGACTGCAGTACCTGCACACAAGAGTACCTAGCAGAGCTTCCAAAGACAGCCTCATTGTTTTTCCCTTGCTTTTGAATGCTTAATCATGTCTACTATATTTACTCGTCAAAGTTACTTATCATGTAAACTATACTCCCTATGGCAAGATACCTCACAGACTTCTACCTCCTCAGACTGCAGCTATTTCTCCAACTGTTCACTCTAGAACACCGGCCAAAACCCAGACTAGATGTGCGAGGCCATTAAATAGCAAAACACTAATAAAAACAAATACCCCATTCCTTATGTCAGAAAGGGGGTGATTTGTCCAGCATTACTCTTGAAGTCTAGTCTGCTGCTTCCAAACTTAAAATTACCACAATGCTTTTTTTTCTAATCAGATTTAGATCAAAGCTTTTGACATTTGTATGTCAGAAAAAAATGGTAAGCCCATTAAAATCTTAAGATGGGCTTACTTTTAAGATCACAGACCTGTCTCCAAGTGAAAACCTAACTGTACTTCAGTAAGCTCAAACACAAATAAGTGTTCTACTGAAACCAGTTTGCAAACTCAACTGCTCCTTTCTTTATGATGGATCTTCCTCATGTCAAGAACTTTACTTCTAAGAGGAAATTAATCACAGAATTTTATTGGAATTACAGTTATATTCAACGAGCTACAATTTATAAAGCATTTGTTTAGCTTGATTCACCATATGCAGTAAACCTCTAAAGGCTCCATACACTGAAATACTTCTCAAAATGCAACAACACACAAAACCAGCTCCCCTTTCTCATCATCAACTCAATAAAATAATCAAAACTTTACCTTTAATATCAATTTTACTGTCCTTTAAGTCCAGATGGATTTTAATTCATCATGAATAATGAATTAACCAACCAACATATGTTTACATTCATCTGTCTAGGTGTTTCTAATTTATTTACCAGGAATGTAATATCACAGATACCCCATGATTAGGAAGTTAACAATGTCGCCATCAGCCTCGGAAATGCAGCAACTGAGGGAGTTAACTCACAGAGGCTTTACCGTGGGGGAGGACACACTATAAAGCCAAACAAAGTCTGCTGCATGACTCTAGCCTACTGTGACTGCGTGGATGGGAAGCTGTGCTGCTACTGCCAGTGCAGTTAGCCCATGCACAACACACTGCATGCTGGGACATGCATTCCAGCACAGGCTGGGGGAATTAGGAGCAAGGGAGCACTTCAGTAGAAAGGAAAAAGGTTTAGGTTCAAGGGTTAAGCTGGAATTTTTCATGGTCTATCCACCCACATAATTCAGCAACTCTAAAGTTTTTTTGCTTTGTTTCATGGCTAACAAAGAGATGTGTTTATCACTACACCTAATACACCAGGATATTTTTTTTCTTTCACACAATGGCCATGAAACTATCTAGGATGGTTGTCAGGTTGGCCAAATCTTTTGTAAGCAACACAGAAAAATTAAAGCTCAAAACTGTACCGTCCACATTTATCTGAACGTCTTGGCATAGCCTCAAACTAACTACAGTAGCAGCAACTACTGAAGAGCAGTAAGTTTGCCACCACAGGCAAACGTATCAGGACACTCCCAAGTCTACTTCATATAGCATTTAAAAAGACAAATTGAGCAGAAAGCTTGTGTACTTCTGTACACACACATCTGCATGTTTTGTACTATTCAATTGCCCTTTTTCAGCTTCTTTTTGGTTACAAACAGTAAACTTCAATGGTCATAATCAGCAAGGTTTTCTTGAACTAAGATTCACATACTTCCAAGGCTTTTCAAATTCCAATTCCCTGTTTTAAATCATATTTGATTAGTGATACCTGGAAGAAAATTCATGTTCTTTTCTGAGGTTTTATGCCCCAAATTAATCAATTGTACTTACTGAAGTCCACTCTGTCCTAATCTGCCATTCACTGCAGATCTTCAGCTGGCAAGTGCTGGTTGTCTCTGGTTTCTCCAGGTGATGACAGCGGTATTGCTGAACTGTCAAGGTACGATTGGCATACATTTGCCGGCATAAGATCTGTCGATGCTGCATACCAAGGCCACATGTTTTGCTGCACTCAGACCACTCCCCGATATCCCAGCTAAAGAAAAAAAAAAAAAAAAGAGGATGTATCTTTTCAGTAAAGATTTCTAATACTGATCTTAACAGAACTCGAATGACATGATTCTGGTGCTGGTACAGAATCTTATAACACTTAAGCCTCTGCATGCATAACTTAATCCTTTATGAAGACAACATTATATACTTGTAACCAATCTACCTGTAGTGGTTGATAACAATAAGCATGTATACAGATTGCACAATTCATGGCTTCAAGACATACTACAAACATTAATTAAGCTGCTAATAGCCGTTCGGTTTTTTAAATAATCTCTCTATAATATATATTATTGCTCTAATGACGGATCTCAAAAATTTAAGATGTGCTGCATAAAATTTTTCTGCAGCAAAGGCCCTAAAAAAGGATAATACCACAAAAATCATGTCATACGTCCAGGCATTCATTCATCAGTAAAACTGAAATAGCAAATGATAAGCAACAAATAAATAAATTTAATGTTAGAGATGAAAAAAATCCCTAGATATATTCTACTCATTCCCATATTTCACTGTATTTATCTAATCAGTTTTGTATAAACATGTCACCTTCCCCTTTCAGTTTTCATTTCAAGCATGAAGATATACACAAATAAGGGAAGTATCTGAACTGTTCACACATTTTATTTCAGAACTCTTGTGGAGAGTAAGCAAAATCTCCATATTTTTTTAATAATTATTTACATATCTTTGTTTATAGTCCTGATATTATCCTGTGTAAACAAATGAAGCTGAATTAATATGAGTTGTTAGAAAGAAAAAGGTGAGAAAAATGCTTGGTGAGAGAAGACATCTCCAAGTAAATGGCTTCAGAAGTTCCTGAGTATCTAACATGCACTAGGAAATTGCTTGACAGGCATCTCTAACACTGCAACAGCACTGAGACCATCAGAAACTTCTGTGGGATATGGAGTGGACACTTGCTGCTCAGAAGAGAACTGAAGAATGTAATCACAAGAGAGATGGAAAATACAGCTGTTGACCTGAAATAAAGTTGGTACAATGGCAACAATTTAACCCTTTTCTCTTCTTGGTATACATTCTGGATGAATTGACTTGCTTTTTTTTAAAAAATATTTAAACGTTGCTTAGCCAACTGTAAGTCACAGTCTGCTGACGGCAAGTGTCTTTTCAGAAGGAAACTTGAGCTGGTTCCATTAGTGTGCTGGAAACAAGGACTACCACTTCAGAATCCAGTCTTTGAGTTGAAGAACTACTGAATTCCAGGAAAAAGAGGTGATGTTTATGAGGGGGCTGTTGTGAGCACTATCAACCTAATCTCATCTTTAAATATGACACCATGGAATGAACAAGTGGGTACTACAGCACACTGATCCAATGTGGAGGGATATAATTTACAGAGCCTTTTCTTCAGACAGGTATATGCAGAAGCCTGTCACTTGAGAAAAATGTACCCAACTGAGAGACCATGTATAGTGTGCACGTCTGAAAAATCACACAAATTTTGAGTAATTGCCACACACACTTGTTGCCAACTGCCCTTTTGTCTTCTCTGAATGCTGTTGCTCCCTGTGAAGGGGAAGAAGGCCACCAACAACTAAGGAAAAAATATCCACTACACTTTATGACACAAGTACATAGTACTTAGGAGTTTAAACTAGTTTCCTACTGAGAATAGCCTCTTTTCACACACAAAATCTCAAGGACATTGGCTTATTTCACTTGACTTAAACTGTAGTATCTTACAAAGCTGGACATGGGAAGAGGTTGCAGGCCTCCTCTTCTGGAATGGGTTTGGTGCTGCTGTCACAGTAAATCTCAAATACCTCCTCATGAGTGATTCTGTTGACGCAGCGGAAAACTGGGTACTGTGACCCTGAAACGAAGGAGAAAATTAGGTGATGCATTGCAAAAGACTCTGCAGTCATAACAGTAACATCCAACACTGATGCAGAAAGGAAATGCGTAACTTAACAACAGGAAATACAGACTAAGATTTTATCCAAAATTTCCAAATGTGAGACCTGAATGCTATACTGTTTACACTGTAGTATTAAGGGAAGTTCTTAGTACATAGAAAGTACAGCACGGCACTGTAGGAAAGGCTGCAAAAACACGCTCTTTGGTCTGCATGAGATCTTTATAGTGCAGAGAGTACAAACATTAAGTATTCAACCAATTTAAAAAAATGCAGCCAACTGGCCACAACACAGGCTTGAGCAGAGGAGAAATTTAGCAGTCATTCTGTTGTGCTACTGGAAAGAGACTGAGCCTCCTTACTTTATAGAGTTACATGGTGAGTAAACGCATGAGAATATTTTCCACTTCAACTGGTTTTTGAAAAGATTCATAAGATAAAACTTACAGGTTAAACATTACTGTAGACTACAGACTCACTAAAAATTACTACTATCCACATTTAATGCTCGGTCTTTAAATAATTTTCATGCTAGAGCAGAAAGACAGAACTCTACTTCTATTACTATTGCAGTTGACTACCAAAATGCTGACAGAGAGCAAGGTGCTAACATGCCTACTTGTATTCGGTAAGTGAAAAGTTGGAGTACATTAACAAGCTTCCTGACACAGGTGATAGAGGAGCCAACAAGGAAAGGTGCTCTGCTAGACCTGATACATAAAAACAACGAAGAAAAAGTCAGGGATGTGAAAATCAGGGGCAGGTTTGGCTGCAGTGACCATGAAATGGTAGAGTTCAGGATTTTAAGAGGAGGGAGCAGGGCAAAAAGCAGGACCACAACACCAAATTTCAGAAGAGCAGACCCAAACCTCTTCAGAGATCTGCTTGGAAGAATTCCATGGGATGAAGCCATAGACAGAAGAGGCGTCCAGGAGAGCTGGTTGATATTCAAAGACCACCTCCTCCAAGCTCAAGAAAGGTCCATCTCAACAAGTAGGAAATCAAGCAAAGGTGGCAGGAAGCCTGCATGGATAAGCAATGAGCTCCTAACTAAACTCAAAATCACAGAATTATAGAATCATAGAATCGTTATGGTTGGAAGAGACCTCAAAGATCATAAAATCCAACCGTCTACCCAACGCCACCATGCCCACTAAACCATGTCTCGAAGCACCACATCTGAACGTTTTTTGAACACCTCCAGGGATGGTGACTTCACCACCTCCCTGGGGAGCCTGTTCCAATGCCTAATGACTCTTACAGTGAAGAAGTTCTTCCTAATATCCAGCCTGAACTTCCCCTGGCGCAACTTTTGAGGCCATTTCTTCTTGTCCTATCGCTAGTTACTGGGGAAAAGAGACCAACCTCCACCTTGCTACAACCTCCTGTCAGGTAGTCGTAGAGAGCGTTAAGGTCTCCCCTCAGCCTCCTTTTCTCCAGGTTAAACAACCTCAGTTCCCTCAGCCGCTCCACATAAGACTTGTTCTCCAGGCCCTTCACCAGCTTCGATTCTCTTCTTTGGACATGCTCCAGCAGCTCAATGTCCTTCTTGTAGTGAGGGGCCCAAAACTGAACACAGTATTCAAGGTGCGGCCTCACCAGCATGGAGTACAAAGGGATGATTACTTCTGTAGTCCTGCTGGCCACGCTATTTCTGACACAGGCCAGGATGCTGTTGGCCGTCTGGGCACACTGCTGGCTCACGTTCAGCCAGCTGTCGATCAACATCCCCAGGTCTTTTTCCACCAGGCAGCTTTCCAGCCACTCATCCCCAAGCCTGTAGCATAGCATGGGGTTGTTGTGACCAAAGTGCAGGACCTGGCACTCAGTCTTGTTGAATCTCATAGTCGGCCCATCGATCCATGAAATGGTGGAGTTCAAGATCCTTA